TTAGGTATGATCTTGTAGAGAATTTGGCAGCGCATCTTTTAAAAAAGACATCGAGTCTCGGAAACAAATTCAAACCAAGTTATAAGCAAAATACTGAGAGGGACATTATTTATGGCCCACCCGTTACTTTATAATAAGTAACATCTGCTGAAAACTTCGTCGATGTAATACGATGAGATGTTTCCAGAGGGGAAAGAGACGTCCCGAGTAACACAAGTAGCATCTCATATTTACTTGCTCCTTGGTAATATCGCCCAAGCAAACGTTAATAGCACCATTACGTACATCTGTGGTATAGCCCATGAGCTTTACATACGGTGTTCCTAAAATTAGATGTAGACATTAACTCCGAGAAGACCACTAGTCTTCTATTATGTCCGCGAAAAAAATCGGAAAATGCCCTATACCTACCTATATTGGAATTTTGAAAAAAATTCGCTAAAACGTACTTCTAATAGGGGATGGGCTTCAAGTACGTGGCTGTTTCCGTTGAACTACTAGCGCACGACAAAATTTGACCGCAATAGAAGACCGCCCTTTAGAACTCGACTTGAGCGACAAAATTGAAGACCAGGTGGTCGTTTATTATGGGAAAGGAGGGGGGGTGGTGAGTATGTTAAAATTCAAATCTCTCATCTAGGAAGACACGTGTGTTGTGAGTAGGCCTTCTATTCTGGCAGGGGTTTACAGCAAACTACAAGAGACTTCCTGACTTGTCAAACGAAAAGATGATTAAGCCCCAGCAATAGAACTTTTTACTAAAAAGTAGATGTACTGAGTATGATACTCAGTACATCTACAAAACCATTGTCGTTTGCATTTCTTGTATTATTGCTATAAAATTCAGAAGTTTTGATGTTTGTACGACATGGAAAGGAATCAAACAAAATGAGTCACCACATTCAACCTGACTATTTCTTTAAAAAGAAAAAAACTACTATTTTTTCACTCTGCATCTTGCAATATTTGCACTGCTTGGTACAAACGTAAAGTATTGCATTTTCAAAACGATCATATTATTCTGAAAAAGAAAGAACAACATTTTACTAGATCAGATAATGAATTTTCCGTGATCGGCACGTTTCTGGAACGTGGATATGCAGTACTTGCACGAACAATATAGTCTGAAAGTAGCAACATTTGAATTCGAATTGCTCGGTGGAAAGCGTAAATGCAATTACATTGACCATTAATGCACTGTGTGAAAATCAAATAGTCGGATAGTACTCGTTGCACCGATTCCAAGTTTTATGTTGGAATTGATAAAATCACTCCGCAACAGAACGTTTTAGGCTTTTTACTACGTGAATGAGATATTTTTAGTGGTTTTTCATGCATTTGACCATCGAATTTCAATTTTCATGTCAAAAAAATTCTATTCGAAATCACCGTCAAAAATTTAATTTGATGTGGTGCGTATTTCAAGGTGTTTGATGAAAAAATAGGTTAAAAAATTCCCGAAAATTTTTGAAAAAAATGAATTTTTCGCAAAAGTCTCGAAATACACCTGCTAAGGTCCAGGTTTTACGACTAATTACTAATATGAAGATTTTATGGCTTGAAACTTGGTTCTTAATGGAGAAAAATATACAAAACCATCGAAAAACAAGCAAACTGTCTTCTTAAAAAAGTCTAAAAAACCGTAATGCCGAGTGATTTTATTCAATTCCAACGTTAAATTCGGTGTCGGTGCAACTAGTTCTATCAGACAATATGGTTTTCGGACAATGCAGCAATGATCGTGTATATGGTGATTCACTCTCCATAGAATCATCCATTATCATCTTTCTAAATTATCTTGTACAAAATAGTGAAAACCACAGGTTCTAGTATGTTTCTTTCTGTCGCTTCCATGTATCTTCTTAATCTTACCTCTCTTTGTTGACGACGACCATGTATTTTTCAAAGCGGATTGTTTTTCGGTTGATAGATGTGCAGTTTTATCACGTGAAGTAGTAGTTGACTGTTTTGAAACTCTTGGTATTGCAGGTTGTTGTTGTGAGGATAAGCGTCTTTGACTCTCATTATCATCATTCTCGTTATTATTGTGATTTAAATTTAAATCTGTAATCGCTGAATCAACTTCTTTTTGACTCATTCTTAATGATGTCATTGGACGACTTCTATTTACAGTTAAATTACGTGAACCTAAAAAAGTAAGAGAATGCATTTTTGTCTTCTCCATATTCGCCCCATCGGACACAGTCACAATTTTTGTTTTGCCGATCGGATACAGGTACCGATTCCAACTATGTACTCAGTCTTTCTCTCATGTGGTGTTAAACTCCCGAAGTCATGACACTTGCAAGTTCCTTACTGTTTTGATTAGATTGTGTACTTTTTAATGGAAACTGCTGTTGTTCATAATAGCATTCCATACAATATTGAATATTATTTTTTGTTTGAAATGGTTGACGTATTATATTTTTCTGACATTGTGAACAACAAAAACATTTTTCATGATAATTTCGATTGTTCAATGTAAAACATGGCTGTAACAAAACTATAAACTAATACTTGGTAATGTAGTAGATCTAAGAAGGTTCGATCTTGATGAAATTTTCCGTCTATTATGTACCTTTATGCTAAAGATTTCAGTCCTTCATCTCGTATTTTCCCTGAGTTATTTCAGAATAGTGAACTGAAAATAGAGGATTCTATTCGTAAGTCAGCAATATATCAGCCATTCTGGTAGCTCCGATTATCCTAGAAATGTAGTCAATACGTTTTCAAACGATTCTCTGTTGTTCGATTTTTTGATTCTTATCCTTCAAGTTCCAGAGGTAAAAAGGTTTGCAGATTTTTTCTTCAGTTTTTAGAAGCTCTTTTGATTTTCTCCTATACTAGAAATTCAATCAAAAATAGTACAACGAGACACCCTACGAAAAAGAGTTGGTCACATTTTAAGACCAATTCAAGTTTTGTAGCTCTTAACCTAGCTTGCCTTATCACGGAATGATCTGTCGGGAGAGCAAAGTAGAGTAGGGTAAATGTTTGCTACTGAAGCTATCTTAGTCTTTGGAATTAGCGATTCAACAAAGAATTGTTTCAATTGCATTCGCAGATCTCTATGCATAGTTTATACATACACCAGAATTGATTCCAATGATTTCATTACATTTTGTACATTTAGAACAAAATCGTTTTTCAAAACATGTTTCACAATAATCGATATTGTTTTTTGATTTATAAATAGAATTGGATAAATCTACATGACAATCACCACACTGCATAATAATAAAGCAAATGAATCCAGTTTGAAATATCAAAATTCGAAAATGAAAATGATTTCATATTAATCTGTTTTATTTTAACTTATTGTTTTTTCTTCTTTCCTGACCAAAAAAATGATGTTTATACAACGATGTTAATAAAAAGTTAAATTAGAAAAATAAAATGAATGAAGTTTGTTCGTTTTTGCCCTTTTCTTCTTTTTTCGTGTCCTATACAAAATAAACAAATATGCCTGACTACTGATGCATTTTTAAAGAAAAATATTTTTCTGCTCTTGTTTTTTATATGTTTTCTTCTAGAGTTTCTTTCCTGGAGTTTAAAAAAGGAAGTGAAGAAATTTTCAATTATCAGAAAAGTGTATATATGGAAATAAAAGGATTTGTAACATGTTCAAACTAGGCTACTGGAAACAAATAGTCAAACTCACTAAAAAATCATCTTTCTTGTTTTAATTAGTACCAGAAAAAATACTTTTGAAATGTCAAAAACTAGGTTTTTGTGAGTAAAAATCTAGTTCTTCCAATTCAAGTGAAGAGAATAAAGTTGCATCTGATTTAAAAACCTTTGAGGCTGTCTATATGTATATTTGAAGGAAATCTATTTTGTTGCTTATCTTCGAATTTGGAGCACCTTAAATCTTGGCTTTTTAGAGTAGGTTGTTAAAATGAGGTACTTTGAAAGTTTATCGTATACACCAAATCTCGGACAGATATATCTTGTGAAGAGAATACCCATCTTCGGATTGTTTGCGGAGCACAGGATGACAAGAGATAGTTTAGAGAAAGTTAGCGCCCGCTTCAAGGTGTGTACGTTTATGCAGTTAGCTGCAACGGGTATCGAAACTAGCGTAGCTAACTACAGCGGGCGCTACTAGCTTATTTTTTCATGCTTGGACCGTATGCATAACACATAAGAATAAATAATAAGCATCAGATAACTGTGCATCTTCAGTGTGTGTCTTAGTCTGAGAAGCAGACGTAGTTCTGTTGTCACCTGCAGATTTTCGTTCTAAATAGAGAATCTTATATTTTGCTACTAGACAATAAAGATATACATAAAAATACGACATTGTTTTTTGTTTTCTTTTTTAAGGCTCCATAATCTAACATACTCAATCAATATGATGAGAAAAAAATCATTTAAATTTGGCAAGTTAAATATTTAATGAATAAACAACTACGATATAAGAAATTTGTTTATTTGTTTGAGTCCTGGAGATTTTTGATAAAAAATGTTTTGTCGAAATTGCGTAAGAGTTTGTTGAAATAGGTTTTAAATGATGCTGATTCTGATAGAATACTTGAAAAGCAAAAATATGCGAACGCTAGCGTTCATCATCTTTGTCTGCAGTGGCATGAGAACACTAGGACAGCTCTATCTAAAAACATACCGTTAAAAACCATTTTAATGATCTTTTTAAAAAAGAAAATCATATTCATAATCACTTCATAAGATTGCATCTGGAAATGTATGTATGTCTTTATTGATTACAAGCATTTGAATTACAACTTCCTTCCATGCTTATTTAAGTGATTGATTTTTCACAATCTGATTATTAAAATTTTAAAAAAAACCGATGAAACTGTCTCGAAATAAAGTTTTAACATACTTTTATCTTTCAATGTTAATATAATTTGTTCTCCTTCTTTATATGCATTTACATCATGTTCAATGACGAAATCATACACAAAAGTTCGCATTTAATCTGCGAAAAATCACACTACAATGCTGTCAAATCCCATCTATCTGTCCATATTTTCTTCATTTGTATTGGCAACTTTTGTTTGAGTCTAACGTGCTCATTCATTTATTTGCATGAAACTTTGAGTACATAAACTATGACAATTTTCATGTGAACATCAGCAAAAGTTATTTCTTTCGGAACATTTTAAAAAATGTACACAGCAAAATTAAATCGATAAATTTTACACTAAAGAATATGTGCGCGATTGTGTCAGCATTATCTAATAATGTTAGTTTGTGAGTGTTATCTTGAAACTATATTAACATTGATACTACAAATTGGACTAGAATAATGTTTTTATTACTTAGTTACCTTTATCTAGCACATTTTCCTTTATCACATTTTACTATCCGTTCCAAAATACAATACCGTATGTTACTTTTTGAATAACTTTTGATAGAAGCTAGATAGAGACCTGCGGTTTTTAGTTTTGAAAAACTAAATCATCGACACAATCTGAAATTCTTTTCACTTTTAAAATGTCTTTAGATTTATTTGTATTATGGACACATTTCAGAATTATCGTCACTAACATGAAATTAAAAAAGTCAAGCTATTTCATTGTTTAACTGCTCTGTTTGAATATCGACTTATTATCAACCTAGGAAAGAAATCTCATGACAAAAGAGTTTAATCTTTATTTAACTTTCAGTGCAAAACCTATTCCATAATGCCACCATATCTAAAAAAAGTAAAATTAGAAATAATTTAATAACTCAGTCAAATTACGTCAGAATATCAAGATATACTTTATTTCATCTGCTCAATATGATTCTTTGGTTTTGATTAGCATGAACTATTCTCTTACCTCGGATGATTCCTAAAAAAGCTTTCCAAAGACAGAAGTATTTTGTGTTGATTTCTAAAAGTCCTATTGAACTATGTGGTGCAGTGTAGATAAAATAGAGTACACCTTGATATCCTAACGTGATTTGTATCGATGTGTTGCTGTTCGAAAGTCATCTGAGCAGCAAAATGCCAAAACCCGCGAGGGCACGACACTGCAGTGGCAGACTTACGTAGCCGAGGAGAGCATAGGTTTTGGATTGTTATTTTTCCACAGTTATTAGAATTACTGTTGAGAAAAAGCAAAAATTCATTTTATAGGACACGGAAAAGGAAAACTTACTGTTTTCTTCAAAAAGTTCTTTTTTGTCACCACTTAATGAAATGTAGTCCAGATAAAATATATATTTTTGTCCTTCATTTCCTTTTTTATTCTTTTCACTTTTAAAATGTCTTAGGTTTATTTCGCATTATGGACACATTTCAGAGTTATTGTCACTCACATGATATTGAAAAAATCAGGTTAACACACCTGCTGTAGAACGCTTATTTTGTATTATTATCTTTACCATATTCATGTAGTCTGCCGCGGGTATTGTACTGTTGTAGTCGGAAACGCAAAATTGCTATATTCTGACTTCTATGCAATGGAACGTAAAACTGTTTTTTGTGACAGTACTCTGTGATTTACTCGTTAGTATGGCGCCTGCTTCCAGTACAAAGAATTGCTTTTTCATCGTTTCTGTTGCTTAGCTTATAAGAAATATGTACGTAAAAATAACAGGTTTTGCTACTAGTTTTAAGAATTAAATCGTCGTTTACTCCATCCAAATAATGAATATAAAACTTTTGCTTTTATCCAGATTGCTTTCAGACACACACTTTGTACTACAAAACTGTAACAGGAATATGTTCAATTCTTAAGATATATTATCGAAGAAAAAAACACAATATTCGCTTTACGTTTGTGTTGTCATAGAAGTGATAGCTAGCCATGTACCAAATCCAAGCTTTTGCGTGATACTTGAGCTTGTCGAACTTGTTTTATGCTTGAGCATGGATCAAGCGTATGTCGACATCATGGCCGAGCTCAAGCTTTCAAGTTTAACAATCTTGGCATCTATCGTTTTTGCTGTCGATGCGCAGTGCTAGATCATTCTAACTTCCCGTTGGCGGCACTTGTGCTAGAAAAAGTCGTCCCTTTGTCTTTTCTGAGACACCATTAACAGGAATCGGACACATGAGATCTTTTTGTGTAAGACTCTCTACGTGACAGGTAGCGCATTAAAAATGAGTCACTTTTCGGCTAAAACGCGTAACTGCCACCCTCGGCTGTGGTGGGTTGAGCGATATTGTTTCTCTTAAACCAGCCTTAAAAGCATATCATTAGACGCAGTTTTTTGCGCTGATTACGAATATCAGCATTATCTAATAATGTTAGTTTGTGAGTGTTATCTTGAAACTATATTAACATTGATACTACAAATTGGACTAGAATAATGTTTTTATTACTTAGTTACCTTTATCTAGCACAT